CCAACACCTGCCTCATGGGTTATCAGAAGCTTAATGAGTAATGGAGCTACTTTTGTGTCCATTCAAAAACTCTTCCAAAGTCTCCATCATGCAGTAAACTAAAAATATGTGAAAAGAGCACCTGTGGGTCACATACAGTAAAGAACTGTAAGGCATTGTTTACAGTTTTCAGAATAAGGCCTGTGTCACTCTACGAGACATGTGATAGAAAGAACAGGTAAGCTTCTGAGTTAAATAGATTTGGATTTGAGGCTTTGAAGCTCAGCTCTTTGCTTTGGACTTGACAAGTTTTTCATCAAGTACTCTGCTTTTCCAGTTTTCCAGACTCTGGAATGAGGGTGATGCCTCTCTTGGGGTTTTTATGAGGATTAAATGAGCGGGTGCATAATGAAACTCCTGACCCTGTCTCACTCCTATCTACTGTGTGCTCTCACTTTTGAGGCCTTGCAGGAGCTGGCCTCATTCAGCAGATCTGATTCCTTCAGTCCTGAATCCTATCAGGCCCTTCTCCCTGCTGTCCCCACATTCCCAGCCAGCAGAGCTAGGGCCTCTGGGGCCTATAGCGGCTTCAGTGAATATCTGAAAGAGACATCCCTGGGTAGTTCACCCATCCCAGTGGGTGCACTGCTTGGAAGGAGGAGAGTGTCTCTGTACCATACACTTCCTCTGTGTGTAGCTTGGTGAGTGAGCAGCTGGATTTCAGCGCCACTCCCTGGTCACCTTACCTAGGTGCTTCTCCCAGTGCACAAAATATACATCCCTACACAATGGCCAGCCACCTAATCGGTACCTTGTAGGTCCTCCCCCTGTTCTGCGTGCAGGCTAAGTTGACCTGTTTGATATGTTTGTACCCTTAAGCCCTTGTTCTCTTATGCTTAACTGTTCTGTAGTTTCTCCTATTAGTTCAGTCTACTCAATTACATTTCTACAGGGCAAGGACAAAAGCTTTTTCTCCTTTTGAACTCTTCTAGAGTTCAAAACTCTTCTAGAACCGGGTATAGTATAATCATCCAAAGAAAATCTTTTATTCTTTCATAAGCTTCCCAATTTTCAAAGAATGTTCATACATCAACTCACGTCATACATCCAGCAACCTTGTGAAGTGAGGAGGAAAGCTAAGATTTGGGAAGGTCAACCACACAGAGGAAGCTCCCAGAACTTGTGGGTACTTTGCTGTTCCCTTTGTTACAAAAAGTCTTAAAAGTGTTTAAAGCCAAACAGCAGATTTTCTGGAATCATTTATGTTATGTTTGCCCTATAAATCCTTAGGTAGCTAAAGTAGATTTCTATAGGACAACCAAGGTAATAATAGGTCCATTTAACACACGACGCCTTTGAATGAAACCCATTATAAGTGTATTTACATATTTCAGAGTTCATGGGTATATTCAGAAATATTAATGTGGCATAATTGAAGTCTTAATACTGCACCCTCAAGCCCAGGGTGGAAAATAAATGACTCTTTCTCCCCTCTGCCCTTCTACACCTGTCAAAGTTAATTTTTAACCACTGGCACATTGCTAAACATTCATCCTGAAGAGCCTGATTCATAAATCTTGTTTTAAATGCTCTGGGTTTGGTTTTCAACCAAGACTATAGCAAGCACTAAAGTAGAGGGAAATGGCCTCCAGAGTTTCACTTTTCTCTGATTTAATTTTTATTAGGTTTAAAATGTGATCTGGCATTGCAGAGTTGTTTGAAAGGTGAGAAATGAAACTTTGAAAGAAAAATGGATATATTTAGATGAGTAGAAGTAAACAGAAGTGAGCCACACCAGGATTTATTGAAGACTCCAATCATGTTTGTACTCTTAAAAAAGCAGCCTTCTCTTTGTCTCCAGGGACAGGATGGAAGGGGAGGGGTTCTTTTTCTGCTAAGCAATGGGCGTGACCTTTCAGAAACCTCATAGAATTTGTCACATTTTATGCGTACGTCAATCTGAGTTTATTTATAAACTTAAATAGACATTTTCCTTAGCATGGGATCATTAAGAACACTGGATGTGGAGTAGAGTATTTAAATCATCCTGAAAGGCGATTCTGTCCTAAACTGTCTTAAGTTAAAATTATGAAGGGAGGTATTCGTTTTACCCTCAGATAAAGATTTTTGCCCATTAATTTTTTTCTCACTGCCCTTTAAAAACTGGTTTTTGTTCATAAATGATGGCTCACAAAAACATTTCCACGTTGAAAGCTGCTTGGGGAACATTGGCTGCTTGATGGTGATTTGCACATGAGATGCTGTATTCAGTCTATAACTTACAAACGTACTTTGATGATCAAGAGACATTTTCCTGACTGGATTACATCTGCTGAGAAGCAAAATAATGGCCTGTATTTGCCTCTGAAATGAGTTTTACAAAACTTCGAGGAAAGAGACAGTGATATATATTGTTTCAAAAAAAATCCCTAAGGGAAAGTTAGTTTTCAATTATGTGTGCAAGTTTTCCAATATGGCTGGGTCTTGGAGGTCCCAGAGAAATACTGACATTAAAATACAGGTTTGCCTAAAAGAGCTTGGGAGTCACATGAAAAATACTTAAGTTATTATAACATTTGTGCGTTTGATTTGCTAGTTATTCATTAGTGAACCCTATGGATTGACAGTTGTAAAATTATGTGAAACGTGGACCTAGTGTGAGAGGAACGAAATAATACAGAAAGTTGATGGTTTTCTCCCAAAGCATTGAGTTACTGATTCTATTCTACCAGCAGAGGGCTCCCTTTTTAAGCTAATAAATAGTATGTGTTCTTTTGGTCACTTTTCAAAGACTAGAATTCAATGGGAAAAGATTCAGCTCACACTTTCAGTAATATCATAGAACCTCTGTGGTAGATGATTGTACTTCTTATGAGAATGTGTTTGAAGCAAAGTTTTCCAATCTGTTATAAGACTTTTTCTGTAAGTAAAGAGTGTACTGCTTTCCAGTGGATAATTTTCTGAATCAGAAAATATATTGTTGGATTTACAGCATTTTAGTCTTAGAAGGTTTTGACACAAAAAAATCACGTGAATCCAGACAGGTACGCTTAAGAGACTGATGTTTCCAATGTTTCTAGCTTTAGAACGGCTATTTTTAAAAGTAGGGCAAGATTATGTAGCTCAGGATGCTACATAAGGGTGTTCTCTGAACTAACCATATGTTCCTATGATCAGATGGCAGATTCACTTATAGACTATTTTTTTCCCCCACTGGGAAAAGTTTTTCAGTATCAGTGGCACCAAAGGAAAGTTTGCAAAAATCACTTTCATCGTGGCTTTAGCAGCACTTCCCAGATATTTGAAATAACCCTGTCACTGGTTCCTGCTGTTCGCCTGTGTGGACTTTATGTGACCACTGGATCACCTTCCCATACAGAGTATAAGGGTATTATAGGCAGAACTCATTTTTCTTCAAAAGGAATACAAAGATAGCTTTTAAAAAAAAATTAAAGTAAGCTAAAAATAGAAACCAGAAAAAACTAGAGTTCTGTTATGTAAAGTTTCTTGCATGTGGCTTTAAAAATTACCTTCAGTTTCATTTGTCAGTTTTTGGCAGTTCTGGCAGTGGAAAGAGAGGAGCAGGACAGTATGTAGAGAAGGCAATTTGGAGCTGAATGTTAGAAGGCTTCGTTCTAGTCCTAGTACTATAACCTTGTGCAAACTGCTTCACCTCTCTGGGTCACAGCGGCCCCCCCCGCCCCCCCACCCCCGCCCAGCGCGAAAGAATTGATAGAAGTGATCTCTAAATTACTTTCTTATTTAAAGCTTGGCGATTCTGTGATCTCATGTTGTGTTACTTGTCTCTGGAGAAGCATAGATGCTGAAGCAACCGAAAATTTTCTCAGGTGAAATCTTTAATAAGTAGCCGAGAAACCTAAATGTGGTTCATGGCACCCTTCTCCAATAAAGAACAAAAATCCACTAGAAAGGTGTGCCCTTCTCTCCCTGTCCGTCCCCTGCCCCACGTGGCCCGCACATAAACCTAACGCGGACCCACCTTTCCATTAGGAGGTCATATGGCCATTTCAGTGTGAGTGGAAATGGACTGCACAAGTAGAGCTACAGGTGTTTTGGTTTTTTCTTAATCTTCCCGTGGCAGGGCGTATAGGATGCAGGTGGAGTTCTGACAGTCTTCCTGAGGGGGCCCTCCTCCGTTGATGTTTCTGTAATCTGCCCCCCCCCCCCGCCCCCCAGCTGCTGCGTAAAGGCTTTCCTGTTACACCTGCAGGTCTGTCTGTGCTGAGGTGTGGGACGAGGTGCAGGACGTGGACATATGCGAGGCTCTGTATTCTGGGCTGTTCCAAGAGGTTCAGGCCTTTACAAGCGAGGCTTTGATTCTATTTTTTGCTGAACTAGCTCAGCCACTTCCTGTGTTTGGCTGCGCTCAGTGCCTCGCTTCTCCGTCCGCTTCTTGAGCCAGGGAGCCAGCCAGCGCGCGGCGGCCAGTTAGACTATTTTGGGTCCCCTCACAATGGCCTTCTCATTTCCTCTGCGAAAATGAGCAAGTTGGTCTTGCATTGGCCACTTTTCAGCCCATGACAACTTTGACTTTGACTGGGGCACCCCTCCCCCTCCCGAAATCCCTAGCTCAGCAAATATTTGAACCTGCCCGAGTTAATCATGAAGCCGCGATCTTTATCTAAGGGAGACGTGCAAGCGCCCGGGCTCCTTCCCTCCCCGGTACAGTAGCGAGATCCAGTTGGCTTCTCGCTGGGGAGCCGGCGGTGAGCAGCGGCGGGATCAGCCAAGCTGCCGGGACGGGACGGCGGGCGGGGTGCAGCCGGCTGTGCAGGGCTCGGCAAGCCGGGGTCCCGGCGGCGCCCCCACCCCCGCGCGCACTCGCAGCCACCGCCGCCGGGCACGCGCACCGCCACCGCAGGAGCAGGCGGAGAGGGCGGGGGAGACGCGGGGACTTGGCCCACTTGATGGAAGAACAGCTTTTTGGATTTTTTTTTCATTGTCGGAGACAGGCATTTCAAAGGGAAACCGCTGAAATGCATAACCTGCAAAGTAAGTTGCCTTGAATTTGTGCACTTCTCTGCCCCTGCCCTGCGGTTTTTTATCGAACGGCTCCTTTCTGTAGTTTGTCTCGGGGCGTGCGTGCTGGGCTTGTGTGTCTGGTGCGCGCATGCCCCCGTAAGCGCTGCCTGCCGGGGAGGGCAGATGCGAGCGGAGGGGAGGCACTCCCCCGTGTCCTCCAGGGGTGCCGCTCTGGGCAAAGGTGGGGGTGGTGTTGGAAGTTGGGGAAGGAGGCAAGTGCTTGCTTAGCTGGAAGTTGGTGCTAGGCCAGGGCTTAGAGAGACTGTGGAAAATCACCTGTCTCCCTGCCTCCTGGGTCAGTTTACCATTTGAGATCCTGGGGCTGGAATGGTTTGCACCATGGACTCCCAAATGCAGGCCTGGCTCTCTGGGCTGACTGTTAGACCGGCCGCCACTCATTGGGAGATGTGTCTCCTTACTTTTGAAGGAGGGTCATTTTTATTAACCTAAGATTTTTTTTTTTCAAATCTTATCTGACAGCATACCCCCCACCACCACCATTTTTACCATTTTTATTTGAGTTTAGATTTACCTAAACCCTTAAGCAAACAGGAAACTGTGAACAGGAGAGAGTGAGAGGGGATAGGATAAGCCTGCCTTCCCCAATAATGGGAAAATGAATCGAACTAGAGAGGGGACTTCAGTGAACAGTGCCCAGAGAACAGAATGCCTTGCCTTTGTCTTTTGCTCCATAATATTTTATGATTCCAAATTTGATACAAAGATAAAGAATAAATGTCAAGGGCTTCTGTGTTCTTTAAATTGACAAGTATATGTGTGGCATACACATGTAAATAGATCACAAAGCCACCGCAGTTTTTACAGTGAGCCGTGTTTCTGTGGGGGGGGAGAACCCCCATCATAATATTGTCACTGTAAAAAGGGAGCTGGGTTCACAGGGAGAATGTACTTTAGGCTCCGATAAGGGTAAAAGGATTATATGCAGAATGATTTTAAAGGGCCAGAATTAGTCATTGGCTTTAGAGAGAAATTGATTACTTTATATTAAATACTATTAAGAAGGCACGTTTGTCCCCAGAGATGGGGGTGGGAGATGAAAAAGAAAAAGTGATTACATCATCCTACTCTTCAAGCAATATTAGGATGGGTTTATTAGTGAAATAATTTGCAAAGATAACTATACTACACTCTGCCTTCTGATACACGGCCTCTTTCTTTTGGGAAGAAGCATTTCACTTTGCCCAGTGAGACACCAACATTAAAATTAATGTTGACCATTACATTTATTATTTCTGCCAATAGACACCTACATTCCTATTCAGAGTGTTCATTATTATTCTGTAATGTCTCATTTTAACTTCACAGTGTATGATAAAAGAAGGAATTTTATCTAGACCTTTTTTTTTTAATGTCCTTTCTAATGTGCCTCTGTAACAGGGTTTAAGTTCTGAGTTTTCAGCACATATGCAGGACTGGAATTAAATGCCCAGAGTTGTTGAGCCTTTCTGCTTTTAATATATATGGGAGATATTTAAGGACTGTAAAATATAGCTTAGGTATACCATTTTGATGCCTTTGTAAGATTTTTAAAGCAGGGAATAACTGGGCTATCTATAAACCCAGATGCACTGGGGGGTGGGGGAGCTCGGAGCTGCAGCATATCAGCTTTTGTCAACCTGCCAACAGCGGAGCGTACCATGCTGCAAGGAGTAATAAATAAGGAATTAGAAAACTCACTGCTGGAGGAGGACAGGAGAAATTAAACACCTTTTCCAAAGGATGAGCATGTATATATGTTGCAGTTCTATGAAATGTGGGTTCTTAGTGAGGTTGAGATTGTGTTAAGGCTGGTATAGAAGGGAACTGATGAAGCAGGAGTGGTCTGGTGACATTTTTCTGACTTGATTGGCTGGGGTGTGTGATGTAATAGGTTTCAGTGCAGCCCTTATAGGTTTTAAAATGAATTCCAAGACACCATTACAAAGAAAGCCGGACTCTTTTCTTATAACTGAGCTCAGCCAAGGAAACTCTCGCACAAATGTACAACACTGTTTGGAATATGGAAGACCTGGATTTAGAATATGCCAAGACAGATATAAATTGTGGCACAGACTTGATGTTTTATATAGAAATGGATCCACCAGGTAATACTGCGGAATTATTGTAGAGAGCTTGTTAATTTTTGTGGCTTTTTAATTTTTTGAAAGCTACTGGAACAGATCCTCTTTAGATTTTTATTTTTATTAATTTGTTTCATTGATAAAAATTAGTTTGCTCAGAGGTTAAAAATTAAACAGATTGTTTTACTGCCTGTAGAAGCAAGCAGGTCAGGCTGTGTGTGGGAAATGCTTATTCTGACTTGAATGGATGTGTATTAAATTCCAGTTTTTCACTGGTGTCTTCTGTTAATGGGGGTCCTTCCCTAGTTGGGTTATATTGTTGTATAGTGTCCCTGTAATTAAAATGATGCATCTGTTGTGCTGCTTTTCTCTGTTGACAGTGGATGAGAACAGTGTGGTACTTTGCAGTGATAACACTTGGTAGTTTAGGAAGCATGTAAAATGTAGCAGTGATTGCAACTCAGTTCTTGGTGACCCGAACTATTCTAAATCAGAGGTTGAGACTTGGCTTGCTGTCTCTTACGTTAAGATAGTATAATGAAGGAAGAAGCTGACTTTTCATTATTTAGCCCTAGTCTTGGTAAAATATTCTTGACAGACACCTGAAGTCATTTTTGCATAAATTAAAATCGTAACAGTGCTTGAAAACTTACAACTTAGAATTGAGCTAAAAATCCTAGATTTGTTTCCAAAATTGTTTTATTCCAGTATTAGCCCTCTCCCCAATTAAGAAAACCAGAAACATTGCAGTCTTTTGTCACCAGTTTGTACATAGGAATACTGGTTTGACATTGAGGAAGGGGGATATGGCTTTTTATCAGTCCTGGCAGAGAGAGCACAATTTAGCCAGCAGAATATTAACGTGAATACTGAAGAGATTTAGGGCACAGATGAGTTTCTTAAAGTGGCTTTTGGCAGAACATTGCCTGAAATACTAAGATTAGAGAAACCCAAGTCTCCTCTTGAAGCATTACTGCTGGAAATGAGCTTTTTCATTACTGCAACAGCAATTGTGGAGGACAGAGAGCGAATTTGTCTTTTATAATTAAATAAGAAGAGGAAATTAAAGCCAATTCATGTTATTCCTGCTGCTCCTGTGTTCATAGTTTCTTACTTTAGATGGATTTGACCAAGCATGAAACTTTAATATAACTAAAATCTAGAAGTAGAAAATGTCATGACTCTGGATTGACTTGGAAATTTATTCACATGGCCAGCCCAGTTCGTTAGTTTCTAAGATTCTCTCTCTCTCTCTCTGTTTAGTTTCGTTTCTTTTTGAGCCATTCTCTGAAAGATTTTTTTTTAAAATAACACTGTCTTCCATGTTGCATGGAATTGTGAATTATTGCTGTATATTTCACTTGCTCTAAGTTTTCTGTTTTATGAAAAAAATCTAAAAAAAATGTAGGTCTAATTTGAAATGTTCAGTTGTGGTTGGGGTTGCAAACAACTTTTTCTTTCTCCTTCATCCGCAGCATTGCCTCCTAAACCACCAAAACCCACTACTGTAGCCAACAACGGTATGAATAACAATATGTCCTTACAAGATGCAGAATGGTACTGGGGAGATATCTCGAGGTAAGGCTCCAGAAACTCTTCATTTTCCCTAGACACAGAGAGTTTTAGATGAAGAGAAAGAAAAGGCACCAGCTTGCGAAGTTCCATTTTTAGGATATCATCCAACATAAGCATGAAGCATAGTTGGTTCTCTTCCAAAGACGACCAGAAAAGTCACTGAGCAGTGGAGAACTGTGGGTGCTGGATGCCACAGGAAATTAAATACCCAGGAAGTTTCACTATTGACAGAGATGGAGGGAAACCCCGGGGAGAAATGACACTGCCTAAGAACAGAGAGGAAAGGCACTCTATTAAGCACAACCCCAAGAATTAATGTTTATGGCAGACACAGTAACAAGGTAGCATTTTTTTCTTCATTTTCTTGAGGGGGGAGTAAGGGGCTGGGGAAACTTTTTTGCGATCAAGACTTTCTGTGCTGATTTGTCTGGGAGATTAGAACATTTTCTGAAAAAATAAATTTAAAACTTAATAGCACAGATATACCAATAGTGAAAGTGTGTGTGGTTTTTTTTTTTCAACTCACATGCACTTGTTTATTATGAGACTGGAATTGTGACTATTTCTGTATAAACAAAGAAGAAATTAGCAAATGTAGATCTGTGGGTGCAGGAGGTATATCCTGCTCAATTTTACTATGACTCTAAAAAAGGTTTGTTAAAAAACAGTGTAAACCTATGGTCACTACATCCTCGAACTGAGCATTGTCTTGTGTTCTTTTTATTCCAGGGAAGAAGTGAATGAAAAACTTCGAGATACAGCAGACGGGACCTTTTTGGTACGAGATGCATCTACGAAAATGCATGGTGATTATACTCTTACACTAAGGTGAGTCCAAGAACATTGCTGAAATTGCAGGGCTCGGGTTGATATAACCATATTTATTAGAAAAATTAATGCCATTATTTTTATATTGTATTTACAGGAAAGGAGGAAATAACAAATTAATCAAAATATTTCACCGAGATGGAAAATATGGCTTCTCTGACCCTTTAACCTTCAATTCTGTGGTTGAACTAATAAACCACTACAGGAATGAATCTCTGGCTCAGTATAATCCCAAATTGGATGTGAAATTACTTTATCCAGTATCCAAATACCAACAGGTAATCAAAATTGAATTCCTGAAGTTACGTTTTTCTCAAGATACTTTCAGTAGTTCACATTTGAAAAACTTCACACGTATGATCACAAAGTTAAGGTTTTATAATTGACAAATAGTAAAGATTTTTCCATTACAGCTTTTCTGTTAAAAAACATTGCTATATGATGAAATTCCTTCTTCACTGAATTTAGTTTTTTCTTCTCTGATTTTTAATGTTTCTAGGATCAAGTCGTCAAAGAAGATAATATTGAAGCTGTAGGGAAAAAATTACATGAATATAACACTCAGTTTCAAGAAAAAAGTCGGGAATATGATAGATTATATGAAGAATATACCCGTACTTCCCAGGTAACTTTTCTGTGAAAATCTACTTAAAAGTTTAGAACTCTTAGTTATTAAAACTTAACATGCCTAAAAAAATAAAAAGAGTTGAGTTTTGTGAATGAAGTGGGGACAAGATCATTTATTTGTGAATCGTTGTTTATTATTTGGGCATAGTATCTTTAAACCTTGTAAATGAAGTCACTCTGTAAGGATCAGTAAAATAAATTTTAAGTTCACAAGGTAACTGAAGGGGTCGCTGTGCATTCTGAGGTTGTTTGACATAAGTCTTGATTGAAGACTTGTTCAGATCGGAAGTTAGTAATTACTGGCAGTTTCACAGACTTGTCCGGTCTCTGCTGTGACAGGAGAGGCTGCCTTTACTTCCATGTTTCCCTAGACACTTGTCCCAGGGCTGTCATCTCCAGGTATCTGGGACCACCAGAGGGAGTAAGAAGGCAACATGGCTGCTCTAAACTGGAATAGCTTCCGAAAAGACAAAAACTGTAGGAATATGGCCAGGCGGTCATAGAATGGGAAAATTATCCAAAGGAAAAGTGTTCTTTGTGAAACTATGGTTTTGTGAATTCAAGCCCCACCCTGCTGACACATGCTAGATAAAAATACTGATCAAATGTCCTGGTAGTATCTTGCAATAAGAAATTGTTTTACAAAAGGTGTGACGTTGTCGTATTAAAATTGTGTCGCAGGAAATCCAAATGAAAAGAACAGCTATTGAAGCATTTAACGAAACCATAAAAATATTTGAAGAACAGTGCCAAACCCAGGAGCGGTACAGCAAAGAATATATAGAAAAGTTTAAACGTGAAGGCAATGAGAAAGAAATCCAAAGGTTGGTGAGCCGGGGGTGTTTTTATCGTCCTTGTGCTGGAGATGACCAAAATCCTTTAAAACTGCTTAGAGATAATCCCAGCTTTCTGTGCTGTGACAAATTTTAAAATGATAGGAAAAGAAAACATTCTTTTACCTGGGGAAAACGGCTGGGAAGCCAGAGTGAAATGTTTCGTAAACTTTGGGGACCCTCCTTGGTGCACCCGGCTAATGACAGATGCACTTCTCTTGCCTGCAGGATCATGCATAATTATGATAAGTTAAAGTCTCGAATCAGCGAAATTATTGACAGCAGAAGACGGCTAGAGGAAGATTTGAAGAAGCAGGCAGCTGAGTACCGAGAGATTGACAAACGTATGAACAGCATCAAACCTGACCTCATTCAGCTGAGAAAGACGAGAGACCAATACCTGATGTGAGTCCTCGAGAGAAAACCTTGTCCGCTGAGCGGTAAAACTGCTATATTGAAGGATGAGTGACTAATACCTTTCTTTCCCAAACTGTTTTTCAGGTGGTTGACTCAAAAAGGTGTTCGACAGAAGAAGTTGAACGAGTGGCTGGGCAACGAAAACACTGAGGAGTGAGTAGCTCGTTACCAAAGCTGGAGAGAGACACTGAGGACAGGAGGCTTTTCTTATCTCAGGGAAACGTGGCACTTGCTTTGTTTTTAGAACAAGGGAGGAATTCTACTGAGTTTGGAGCATGTCATAGGAGAAAATGTATAAATTCAGCTTCATTATCCAGAATTTCTCAAAAGGAAAGCTTAGCTTAAAGAGGACTTGGGTTTATTTTTACCTCTAATGCTGTGAAAGGACCTGCTGTGTCCATAATGATGTCCCTGAAAAAAAAATATTTTTGGAACAGTCAGAGAAAAAATTATGCTTAGTATATTTTGAAGCTTAAGTATATGCTTTGTTTGAATTATTCGAACACTGGCAGTCTTCCGAGTCAATCAATTTCCTGATCTGAACTGGATCAACAAGATCGTTTAATGCCTTCCCCTGTGCCCAGGTACCTGAGAGTGGTTGCTCACTTGAAAACAGAAATGGTATAATTTATGGCACTTGGGGCTGGACAGTGAGGGGAGCTCAGGCCAGGCTGAGCCGGGCACGCCATGGCGGGTCTGACTTAATCCGGTAGAGGGGCAGGAGCTAGAGGAAGTGATAGGGCTCTGCTCTGGGGACACAGCGTGGCAGGCTGGTGGCTCCTGCATCGTCACTGAGAAACCCCCTCCTCTGCCTCCTCAGCCAATATTCACTGGTGGAAGATGATGAGGATTTGCCCCACCATGACGAGAAGACATGGAACGTTGGGAGCAGCAACCGAAACAAAGCCGAAAACCTGTTGCGAGGGAAACGGGACGGCACTTTTCTTGTCCGGGAGAGCAGTAAACAGGGTTGCTACGCCTGCTCTGTCGTGTACGTATCTCCAGCACACACAGGCCTCACAAAGAGACGACAGGCCATTCATTCAGCCTGGGGGCGGGGTGGGGGGGCAAGGATTGGAAAAAGTTCTAGTCTTGAAGAATTTTATAGTTCAATAATGTGGAAAAGGAGCTAACGCAGACATAATAGCGTTTTACTTTATTTCATTTTATTTTTTGAGACAGTCTCACGCTGTCACCCTGGGCAGAGTGCTGTGGTGTCTTAGCTCATAGCAACCTTAAACTCTTGGGCTGAAGCCATCCTCTTGCCCCAGCCTCTGAGCAGCTGGGACTTTAGGTGTCTGCCACGATGTTAGTTGTTTCTTTTTTTAGTAGAGACGGGGGTCTCGCTCTTGCTCAGGCTGGCCTCAGACTCCAAGTTCAAGTAATCCACCTGCCTTGGCCTCCCAGAGTGTTAGGATTACAGGCATGAGCCACAGCCCAGCCCATAATAGCATTTTAAAGTCTAACCAGAAGTATCTGTTAAAAAGGTCTAATAGAAAGAAACAGTCCACCGTGTACTTGGAAGACTGGGGTTTGGGTTCCAATTTGGTGACTGATTAATCACAAGAAGTCTTTAAGTCATGTTTTTCCTCATCTTTAAAAAGGCAGTAGCAATGCCTGTTCTCACTGCCCCCCACCCCCTTTTTGGCATCCCATGGCTAACATAGAATCTGAGGTAATTCACATAAGAACGCTATCCACAGGTATCCATCAAGAATAGGTCAGACCTGGCTCGGCACCTGTGGCTCAAGTGGATAAGGCGTCAGCCACATATATCTAAGGTGACGGGTTCGAATCCAACCTGGGCCTGCCAAACAACAATGACTGCTGCAACCAAAAAAAATAGCCAGGCGTTATGGTGGGCGCCTGTGGTCCCAACTACTTGGGAGGCGGAGGCAGGGACTCGCTTGAGCCCAGGAGTTGGAGGTTGCTGTGAGCTGTGATCCCACAGCACTCTACCCAGGGGGATAACTTGAGGCTCTGTCTCAAAAAAAAAAAAAAAAATAGGTCAGACCAGCAAGAGAAAAGACCCCGATTACTGTCTTTAAGACAGGTGCAGCCAAGAGAAGACACATTCCTTCCATTTGTATATTTTTCATAGTTTGGGGAGTACTTTGAAAAGTGAGAGATCGCTAACATCATTGCACAGAAGTAAATATTCCCTAACTAGGGAGAGGTTCTGAAAGTAGGTTACATGCCATGATCAACTTCCATTCGATCAGAGAAATATTCCTACAGCAAAGAAGGGGTAAGAAGAACTTAGAGTAAAGACGAGGGAATAGGAGGATACAGAGGAAATAGACCGATGGAGAGCTCTGCGGACACTTCCAGGGTAGCCTGAAAGAAGAGATCAAATCAATTACAGCAAAGTCGCTGGTCATCCTGGGGCACTAACAGTAGTTCTCATAGTGGTGGAACGTCCTTGCTTGTGTGTTTGCTGGGTGCCAGACATTCTGTCACACGCATGGCACCCATTATTTCATTTCTCAAAGTTACCTGATTTTATACCTATTACTAGTGTCCTCCTTTTAAACCATTTTCAAGTTGAAAATAATAGTCAGTAAAGCTTGGTTACCTACCCCAGGCACTCAGCCAAGAAAGTGACAGAGCCAAGGAGGGTCTACAGTAACCTGGGACTTTTCCCCTGAAGTTGAGACCAGCCTGCATGGCACTTTTATGGTGATGATTCTATTAAAAACACCCCCAGAGTTGTGAATCGTCCCGGACAAGCTCAAAAAGCTGTTGTTTTTTTCTCTCTTCTAGGGTGGATGGTGAAGTGAAGCATTGTGTCATAAACAAGACAGCAACTGGCTACGGGTTTGCTGAGCCCTATAACCTGTACAGCTCTCTGAAGGAACTGGTGCTACATTACCAACACACCTCCCTCGTGCAGCACAACGACTCCCTCAACGTCACACTAGCCTACCCGGTATATGCACAGCAGAGGCGATGAAGCGCTTACTCTCGGATCCTTCTCCTGAAGTTCAACCACCTGAGGCCTCTGGAAAGCAAAGGGCTCCTCTCCAGCCTGACCTGTGAATTGAGCTGCAGAAATGAAGCCGTCTGTCTTCAGATGGGACTAGAGCTTTCTTTGACAAAAAAAGAAGTAGGGGAAGACATACAGCCTCGGGCTGTATGATGACCATACGTGTCTAATCCGGAGTGCTTATCCTTTTTTCTTTCCTTTTCCTTTTTTTTTTTCCCTTGGTTTAAAGCCACAACACCGCAAAGAGAAAGAGAAAAATGCAAAAATCTCTGCGTGCAGGGACAAAGAGGCCTTTAACCATGGTGCTTGTTAACGCTTTCTGAAGCTTTACCAGCTGAAAGTTGGGACTTTGGAGACCAGAAGATAGATAGGGCTGCAGAGCCCTCCTGGCCTGAGGATGCTCGGTCCAGCCTGGTTGAGCCTGGGTGTTGCTGTCCACGGTGGACCCAGACACATCGCACTGTGGATTATTTCATTTCCTAACAAAGGAACGATATGTAGCAGAAAGGCACTTCCGCTCACGAGGGACACTTTGGGAGAACGTCAGTTCGTGTGTGTTCAGAAGAAATCACGTCATAGCAGAGTGCCAGAAAGTGTTTTGTTTAAACTTGTCAAAAACAAAAACCAACAACAACCACCAATAGAAAAAAGTGGAGCTTGGAAAACAGGACTTTAAAGGACATTCAGTATATAAAATATGTACATAATATTGAATGACTAATTATCAAATAGACGGATTTGTATCAATACCAAATAGCTTCTGTTTTGTTTTGCTGAAGGCTAAATTCACAGTGCTATGCAATTCTTAATTTTCATTAAGTTGATATCTGAGTTTTAAATGGACCTTTCAGATAAGCTTCCCCACCCGAGTTTTTTGTTGCTTGAAAATATTGTCGTCCCTGATTTTTGTTAATATTCATTTTGTTATTATCTCTCCTCTTTTTTTTTTTTTTAAAGAAGAAATGTACAGGATGCCAGTTAAAAAAATATGGCTTCAGAATTAAAACTATGAAATATTTTACAGTTTTTCTTGTACAGAGTACTTGGCTGTTAGCCCAAGGTTAAAAAGTTCATAACAGATTTTTTGGACTAAATGTTTTGTTGGGCAGTGCCTGATAAGCTTCAAAGCTGCTTTATTCAATAAAAAAAGAAAAAGATATATGAATATGACGAAGTATCGCTGAGTCCAACAATGTTGTTTCAAAGACTCTTAAAATACGGTACCTGGCAATGTTTCGTTTCATAAAGAATTGTGAACTTCTTGAATCTAGGGAAAGGGGGTATAGCCAAGGGCTGTAACAGGTGGGGTGGCGGGCGGGTGACAAGGTGGCATGCACTTTCTCATGATGACAGAGAAGAAGTGAATAAACTGCAAAGGGAAGTTGCTTATACTGCAGTCTTTTCTCACTTTGATTTGCTAGTCGTTATCAATTCATGACAATTACAAACCTACTGTAACTAACAGTGCAGCTGGTAGGTATCTCAGCTCTTAGGAAGGAAGTGCCAAGAGTTTGTTTTGGGGTTCCTGGAACAGAGCTCACCTTTGTTTAAAGGTATGATCTCTGTCTTTAGAAAAAAGTAACTTTCTCTGACATGAGACTGTCCATTATAACCAACATTCATTTTAGAGGAAGCATGATCTGAAAAAGTATTTTTAGGTGGAAGTTTCTTCCGTAGCTTTCCATTCAGTGTAGAACATAAAGCAAATGGACACACGACTGTCACTGTACTAGACGGTGTGGAGACCGTTCAAGTCATGGCCACTGCAGGAATCCCCGTGGAGATCCTTCTCATTCACCCAAGTAATTGTGTGTGTTATACTTCACTATGGGGAAAGGAAGGGGTGATAAGTGTAATCCTTCCAATTTAGGGCAAGAGTGAGAGGTCTCTCCTTGATTGATACAAGCAAAAGCTGTTATGTTCAGTAGGCATTGTACGTAAGTTGGGAGGAATGAATACTAATTATAATCATGGTCACTACCCTAGTAGATTAAAATGGAATAATCTTGCAATTTCAGTTTCTCTTTCTCAGTATGTGTATTAGATTCACCCACAGCTCTTTTTCTCTTCAAGTACTTGGGTGAAGGATTTTTCTTTTTCCCTTTTAAAAATCTTTAAAGGATCGGTCTTGCAGCTGAGTTAATCATATATAGAATGTATCATTTTCCCTCTACATAAAGCTACTCATACTCAAGCAAAAGTCAGACAGCCAGACTGTCAGCCCTCAAACTTGACTGTACTGATCTGACCATCTCCCTCTCATCACAGGCAATTGATAATTTCCCTGGTTTTCCTCTGAGTGTCTTTGCTTTAAACCTTGTGATGGTGATATCCTTCCAGATTACATAGAAGTCTAACAGTTAATCAGTTGCTAGTAGTTTATAAACTGGGTTTGTGGATTATTCTTTTTGGTAGTACATCATGTATGCTATTAAATACAAATAGTTTTAATTTCTAAAATACAAGATCTGAGATTGAATGTTCTTCAAAGCTACAGTTTTGTGAATGTTTTTGCTTCAACACTCTTTGCAAGATGACATGGTATGTAGGCAGTTGCCTTACTTTTGCATCTCACAAGCATAAGTGCAATAGAGTTTTCATTGAACAGCAAGGCAGGACTGTGAGTTACACCAGACCGATTCTGCTGAATGCCTTTTTGATGGCGGTGTAGCGTGCCCCCCGAATTTGTCCTCTTACATGTTCAGCCAGCAGGGCACTTCGGGTTCAATCAGGCAGTCGTCCCCTAACAACATCATCTTAGTGGCTCATGAGTATGAACGGATACAGTGGAGGCACTTCTGAGATGTGATTTTTATCCTTGCATCAATTTTTCCCCACCCAACGTAGCATCCTAAAGATTAAACCAGAGAAGCTAAGCTGCAAAGAGGCTGTGATAGGGCGTAGAAGTGGGAGCATTGGAACCTCATATTACAAGAGAGATCATAACCGCCTAAAAAAGCAAAAAGCACACGTTTGCAACATCTGACAATTCCACAGCCTTTGGTATATGTATATATGTATATGTGCATGGACTGTGTTTTCAGTACACCTTTCAGCCAAAACAGATCCACAGTCGTTGAGTTCAAGTATGTAAGAGGCAAATGTCTAGTACAATTCTTATGTATATGTATGGGTTGGGTTTTTTTTCCTTTTTGAGGCTCTTTTGTTTTGTCTTATAAAGGTGAAAATTGTTTGCCAGTGAAGTGAGAAGTTCGTATTTCTTTGGCTTTTTTGTGTTTGTAGAAGTTACTCCTTTGGGAGAGGTGGTCTGAGTGACGTGATTAACTTGGAAACCCTTGTTTTCAGTGTGTCCAGTCAAAATGTGTTCGTGTGAAATGTCCCTGTGGGGACCCAATTGCTTTGTCATATAGCTGGTTACGAGCTAGTCACGTGTTTGGGCAGTCCTACTGATGTTCCTTACTGGGAGAAAAATTCTGCTGGTTTTAACAACTGTGCTTTTGCTATGCATGGTATCCAAGTCAGTTGGAAAACAGACCCTGATATCTGTTTAAGTTTAGGGTCATTTAAAGAAAGGGGCAGTTTAAGACACAGTGCCTCACATGGGATAAAGTTCCAAAATGCCAAATTCTTGTTTTTTAAAAAATCTAGTTATATAAAATACTATATTACAGGTGGGGAGGAAATAGAAAACTTGAGTTAATTGGACAACCTCTCCAACTTAACATTCAATGTGTCACCATGAGATAGCATTAGCTGCCCAGGATGCTGCTATTTAGATGAAAAATGAAAAAGCAAAACAAACAAACAAACAAAAAAACTCATTTATACCTGTGTATTTTTTGAAGCTACAATCTATTCAATGTTTTTACAAATCTGTTTATATGACATTGTTAAAATAAAGTTGGTCTTTTGACGAGAGGGAAGATGTCATGGTCAGTTGTAATTTTGCCTTTACAAGGCAACCGGGGAGGGGGGGTAGGGGGAGCGTGCCTCCGACATTTTGTTCAAGTTATAGATTCAATGGAGCTATGTCTTGTTGTTTTAAGTTGCTTTAATGCATTGTATTAGGTCTTCAAACAGAATAAAGGTTGTTTTGAAACTTCAGTTTTGGTTTGAAATTTCACTTATCACATAAGGAGTCTTTCAGTCATCTCCCACTCGCCCCCTTTCTTCTGTTACCCCATTGTCTCATTTTTGTGTGGAGTGAGCTCAGGGAGTGGTCACATGATAGCTTAGTGTCATTTACATTGTTTCACGGTATCCCGAATGACAAAAATAAATACCTCTAGGTGATGTCATTCCCAGGACTGCTCTTGCTCTGAGAAAGCTAGATCATAGATGTGATGTGCACGTTATGTAGATACAGAAGATGTGCCCGCGGTCCCTCAGTTTCTCTCCCCTCCTCCACACTCATCCCCCATCCTCGAGTCATCCTTTAGTAACTGGTTTGCTAGAGTGTCCGTTTTTTTTCTTTCTTTTATATGGGCTGCATATTTTGAACCCTGACGGTACAAAGACATTTGGCAAAGGTGTGCCTGGAGCTGCAATCAGGGAAGGACCTACACTCTCCAGATGCGGGTTTTACATTGTAGCATCTAGTCAAGATGCCTAAGTCTCACTGTTAAAGCCTGTTTCCATTTGCTTTGACGGCTACATGAACCTACAGCAATGCCACCTTGCCTGTATGGTACCTGATTGTTACCCACAGTACATGTAGGCACAGTGAGGGTCCCAGACGTGAAAACGACATGGTCTAGTAATGGAGGAGAGGGGTATACAAATAATCATCGTCATGGAAACAGTGACTAACATTGACTGTGGCAATAGCTGGATTCATTTCCTGCTTTCCCCTGGCTCTGTTTGGTAGCACAGAGAACTATTCGCATCGACGGCCACACTAGCAAAACAAAGTTCTTTCCATGGGACCTCAGTGTTTTATTAGGTCAAGACAGGTCAAGAGATGTGTGAGTTCTATATACTTCATGAGGCCCTAGGCTCAAAACTAGCGTAAGTTAAATATAAATCATGTGGCAGTTAATGTGTTAATATAGATCCTGGGTATTTTGCCTTCTGGCTTCTAGGTAGCATGTCTCCAGATCCCAGCAGACAGACCCTCCCTTTCAGGTCTGACCCTCCCTACCCATCTCGGTTCTCAGAAAAAGACCCCAGGGATATTGCCTCCTCCCATTTCTACTCCTGCAAAGAGTGGTAGCAGTTTTGTGCTGTTGCTACACCTCTGGTTGCCCTACCACCCCATTTGATTTCTGAGTCCTCTCCCCACTTGAGTAACTAATTGCCCTTATTCAATTCTCTCAACAGTTAATTTCTTTATTCCTGATGGACTCTGATTGATATACCAAGTGACTATTAAACTCTTCATATGCCTTATGTGATTTAATCCTTCCACAATTATGAATAGAAAATATCATTTCCATTCTACAGATGAGAAAACCAAGGCAGAGATGGGAAATGACTTGCTCAAGGTCACGCAGCACATCAGAGAAGGGAGAGGCCATCTGAGAGGCAGAGCGTCACCCTTGTGCCCTAACGTAAGGGCCTTCAAACAGGAGATACACTAGAGACTGCCAAGAAAGTTCACTCGTAACTCTTCCTAATGGGGAGCTAACCATGTAACTCAATTTAGTGCACAGGTGGCCAGTAAGGAATGGCAGAAATAGCATGGGCCTGCTGTGGTCCCCAGACTGACAGCATCAGCATCACTCAAAAACCTGTTAGAGGTGAGAATTCACAGCCCTCACCCCTGCCCTACAAACATAGTGGGGCCAGCAATCTGCTTCAACAAGCTCTGAGTGGTTTTAATGCACACTAAAGTTTGAAGAACATTTTAGGTCACCTGATTGTTGACATACTGGCAGTCCCCGGGTTACAAATGAGACAGGTTCTGTAGGTTTGTTATTAAGTTGAATTTGTATGTAAGTTGGAATAGGCACATTTACCTATTACCTGTAATAGCCTCTGTTAATAAGTGCAAGTCACATGTCAATCAGATGTTTGGGAACTCACCGTAATAGCCACCATTCATAAGTGCAAGTTGTACATAAGTTGGATGTTTATAACCCGGGGTCTGCCTGTTGTACTTCTAGTATTTTAATCAAAAGCCATTACCAGTAATGAGCAATATGTTTCTCCAATATATTAATAATTTATGCTCATAATACAGACTCTATAGAAACAAAGAAAATAGACTGATTTGCAGTCTAGAGATCCAGCATGATCTTATCACTGCATTTTCTTTTTTTTGAGATAAGAGTCTTACTTTGTCCTACTTCAGTAGAGTGCTGTGGCATCATAGCTTACAGCAACCTCAAACTCTTGGGCTTAAGGCATCCTCTTGCTTTAGCCTCCCAAGTAGCTGGGACTACAGGCACCTGCTGCAACACTTGCTATTTTTAGAGATGAGGTCTCACTCTTCTTGCTCAGGCTGATCTTGATCTCACGAGCTCATGCAATCCTACTGCTTTGGCCTCCCACAGTACTAGGATTATAGACATGAGCCACCGCACCAGAACCCTTATCTCTGTATTTAACCAGCTATGGGAACTTGGTGAATTCAGGGCACCTTTGAGCCTCCAACTTATTATCTATAAAATAAAGGTATGTATCTGGGTGGCCTCTGGGATTCCTTCCAGCACATAAGCTGTGATTCAGCATGCTGAATGAAACTACTCAATTCTCCAGTTCTCTGTTTACAATATGGCCACAATTATAACTCACAATACAAGTGGTGGCCCTTTGGGTTGCCAGTGACAATTCCGAGTAAAAGCATTTGCCGAATCAGGATCCACATTTCTTGCTGACATCTTAAAACTTATACTTCCAGTAAATCAAAACTGACAGGCCAGTTCTTGCCAATGTGGCAGAGAATATACTTGGAAATGACATTCTGCCCATCTTTCTAAAACACGAGGTGCTAAGAGAATGTGGCCTACCAAACTATCTTTGCACTAGGGTAAAATGGGAGGAGGCAGCATTGCCAGGGCCTTTCCTGAGAGCTGGGTATGGTGGGAGGCAGGTAAATACAGTCTGTTAAGACCTGACACAGTGTCAGCCCAAATAGAAAAAAATTATTTTTTTCCCTAACCTATCCCTTAAAAAGTCTACCTAAAAATAAAAATCTGTTGCAATATCTTAAGTGTAAATAGATATAATTGATTGTTCCCTATCCAAACTTCAGATAATCTTCTCAAAAGACAGCACTTTGTAATCTCTAGCTTGGTATTGATGTCATAAATCAGCTCAACACAGAATTGCTGAAATGCTTTGGAAAAAAATTTTAAAAGATAAATGAGTAACCACCAAAATGCTTATCTGCATTCTGCTTTCCAGAAGGAAATGTACAAATTCCCTTCTCTCTGTAGCATGACCTCAGGTTTAACTTGTCAAATAAAAATCTCTAAAGCTATGCTTGTCCTGACACATAAAAAGTTTTGGCCTATAATATGAGAATGCGACAAT